CAAAGGCCGTCAGTACAGTTTTCTCTATGAGTTTAAGAGATAAATTTATAAAATTTTCAGGATATATGTGAATTGATAAGCTGAACAAGTTTACTTAAGACGCCAGAATGGGTGTCTTAGTAAAATAAAAAGATATAAGTGTTTTTAGATGAATGATTTTTTAGTTGATTTTTGTGCAATGGATTTGCAAAAAGAGTTTTTTCTTTTCTTTAATTTCTTCTAGATGTAGTATATTTTTTTGATTTATAGTTTGTTTTTTCTTTTTTTGTATTGAAAAGACTTTTGTTTCTACATTTTTGTTCTTTGGTTCAACTGCAATAAAAATTAGGAGCGTTGTGGCCATCCTCTTTTAGTAAAAGTTTTTGATTGTACTTTTTGTGTTTCAAGTCTTTCAAGCCTAGTTAATATGCATTTTAAAAGGCCTTGCATTTGTGTTTGATTTTCTTTATTTATATCTTTTCTGTTTCTTTTTCTATTTTTATATTTTTTGCTTTCTTGAGAATCTACACTTTCATGATCTTCTGAATCAATGTCTTTACCAAATTCGTCTATATCTTCATTTCTTTTATTTTTTGAACTTTTTCTTTTTTTTGTTTCTCCTTTTTCATCCTTTACCCAATAAACTCTGAAGTTGTTGTATCTGATTTGTTTGGTTTGGGCTGAGTTCATTTCCTCTTTCGTTGCAAAAGTGATTGTTGCTATTTTTCTTTGATTCTTATTTCTATTTGATGGAATATAAACAGACTTTGCACTCTTGTTTTTTAAACATCGTAGCAGAAGTACTTCTGATGCACTTCCAGAGAGTTCTGTTAACTTTGCTGTAAATTGGCTTTGGAGATTTCTTTCTTTGTAATCTTCATTCCCTTTCATTACTTTTACTATTTTATTATAATCTATTAGTAATAATCAAAATATGTCTTTATCTTCATATTTATCTGTTTTGATTACTGCCAATACTTTATACTTTGATCTTTTGATTCTAACTATGTTGGCCTTTTTGATTTTTCTGCAAATAAAATCTAATTCTGTTCTATTTATATTTGCTAGTAGGTTCCAAATTGTTAGATAGTTGGTGTAAGTTTCTTCTAATTCTTATTTAGTAAGAAGATTTTCATCTTCATCTTTTTCTTTATTTGATTTATATTCAGGTTGCTTTCTTTTAGCATTTGATTGCTTAAATTGGTCTTTTTCTTTATTTTTATTTTTTTCCTCCTTTGGAATGAGCTTAAGCCATTCTTCTTTTTTCCTACTAATTTTTTTGATTGCTTCATCTCTACTGTGCTCACAATCAAAGTCAACTTCAATCCAATTATTTCCTTTTTTAAAAACTTCTTTGATTGTTCTTATATATTTGTTTTCTCCTAGAATCCATCGAACATATTTGATTCTTTCTTCTTTTGTTTCTCAGATAGTATATAAGTAGGGAAATTGTCCTTGAAGGACTTGTTTTCTGTACATGTTCTGTATTTAAGAGACCAATTACTGTGTTCTATTAAGGCTGAAGATGAGGTAGAAGACAGAGAGAAAGAGAAGGTAGGCAATGATATAAGGTCTTCTAACTCTATTTGTTCAATTTTTGTTGGTTTTACTAGTACATTTTTATTGACCTTTTCTTTTTCAACTTCTATTCTTATTTCTGTAAAGTAGTTTGTATCTTCTTCTTGGTATTGCTGTTCTATATTAAGTTTTTTAATTCAGCTTATTATGACTTCAACATCTGTACTCAATTCTGTTTCATTATTAATTGCTTGATATCTTTTCTTTGAGAGTATATTATTGTTGAGATTCTCCTTTTCATTTTGATTTTTTTTCACTCCTTTTATTTTTTCTTCTTCTTTTTGTATTTCCTTTTTGCTCATACCTACTGTATATTCAACTAATGCTAGGTTAAGATTTGCCATTTTTATTTTGTTGGCCCAATTTTTAATAAACTTTTTTGGTAAAATTATCATTACTTCTGTTTCAACTTTAAGTGCTTTAAGTATTTGGTCATATAGTATTAAGTCTTTTGTTGTAATATTTTTTGAATCATTAATTGCTAGACCTTTCACTATAATTTCGATGTTACTTGGGTTCTTGTACATAGTTGTTCTTAGTACTTGATCCAACTTACAACTATTTAAATACCTACGAACTATATCACCTGTTCCTTGTATATGTTGAATTAAAAATTAATCATAGGGCATTTCCATTGTGATTTGTATATCTGTTTCTAGACTATTCTATTAGTGTTTACTATTTTTAGAATCCCCTATAGTTTGTTTGTTGTTGATTTTGCTAATATGTTTATATTTCCTAAATAGGACATGTTTGCTCTATGTACTTTGTTTATCAAAAATTGTTGATACGTGTTACGTGTTTATTTACTATTATTCAGGGTCTAAGTCAAATTCCCAAATTTTTCAAAATTTTCATCTCAATTTTACAAGAGTTCAAAAATTTTCTGTTATGCTTCTATTTTTTCTAGTTGTTGTTCTAACTAAGTCTATTTCTTTTTTCCTTTTTGAAATTATTTCTTAGTTGTTAAAAGTGTCGTTCTTAGTCTAGTTTTCTACTTTCTTTATAATTTGGATTTTGCTTTCTTATAAAAATGAAAAAAGCTTGCTTTTAAATTACATATAAAGAATAAAGACTTAGATATATAATTTGTGACCTAAACCTACAAGAGTGGCTAAGTCTTACCTAGATTTGGGTATTAGTAATAATATAAGAAAGAGGTGTATGATATTTAATCTATTGGATAGTCCAAAGGTTAATTTTTGATAATAATTTGAGGTACTGAGATAGAAAGTAGACTAGAAGAAAAACTATGAGTTAAATTTGTAGTATGTTTTAAGATTGTGCAGAATGTGAAATGCAATATGAAATCCATATTTGTTTGTATATTTGTTGGTTTAAATGAAGAAGAAATTTAATAAAAAGAGAAGTAGCAGTATAGTAAGAAATAGAAGTATTATGAATAGTAGAAATAAGGTCAATAGAAACTAAACCAGATAGGATAGAAATAAGAGATAGCATATATGAAGAGTTATGCAATTTAAAGCTATTAAGTGTGAGAATTTTTTGATGAAATTAGAAACAAGATTGGTGAACATGTTAAGAGCAATAGCATTTAAAATGCAATTAAGAGAATTAGAAATTAAGTGATAAATTGTTTGGGTAGAAAGACAAAGAGTCCAGTATAATGAAGAGCTAGTTTGATTGCATTGGTGACAAAGAGAAGAGTAAAAGGGATTACATTTGTGAAGAGTGTAAGAAACAGGTAGTTCATTCAAAAGAATTTTAATATGAAAGGTTTTTAGAATGAAGAAATAAAAGCTATAGGCAAAGTTAAAAATCTTTTGATTATTATTAATATAAATCCAAGTGGCTTCTCAGTTGATATTAAAAGCAATAGTAGACCATTGTTGGAAATGATGTTGAGATGTCTAAAGTGTTATAATGTGAGCTTGACAAATAGTATAAATAGAGTATTAAATAAGAATTTTAATAGGAAATTGATCAATAAATGAAGTATAGCCAGGATTGTAAAGGTTGTTAGTTAAAAATGTTAAAAAGAGTAGTATTTAGTAGCTATGAGCAAGTTGGTTAGCAAGGTTATTAAATGGGTCATCTTGATATACAGTAACTTTATGAAAAGTAAGCTAAATGTTGTATAAGTTAATGAAGTTAATAAGGATTTACCAAATAGAAAAGTATAGAGTATGAGTATAAGAAAGTTTGGATGCTAATAAGCAGATATTATAGTATTTGGAAATAACAAATTGTAAGTTTGTAAAGATATGAACAGAACAGTTTCTAGAAGCAGTTATAATTGCTGAAAGAATAGCAAGAATTTTAGCTTTAAAGAAGCATGACCAGAGTTTGACTTGTGCCTGAAATGAGTGAATAGTTGCAGAATTATCAACTTAAACTTAACTTATGTCTATAGAGTATTGAAAGATACCAAGCTTAATAACAGAACTATTAGTATAAAATGAAATAGTTAGGTTATAATTAAAATTAGCAATAGACTGTAAGCTATCAGTAAGTTGATTAGACTAAAAAATACAAGGTAATTGTTATAAGTTGATTATTATTAAAGGAGAAGATAGAATATATAAAAGATGTCAGATAGCTACAGAGTATGCAATATCAAGAAAGTTGGCATGTAGGTTAAGAGTTTTGTCAGTATTAATATGGCAAAGTAGTTTTGTAATTAGGTTTATAGGAATAAAGATTATATTAATATCTGTTTTCTAAGTTATTTTATCTTAATTATTATATTTTGTATCTTAGTAAACTTTACAAATAATAAAATATAAAAATTTTTAATTAGATAAACTTGAATACTATAATTATATTTATTATATTGAATATTTAGTTTATTGATAATCTTAATTTTAATTAATTTAAAAAAATTAAAAATCTAATATATTTTTTTTTTAACATTAAAGTTCTTGCTTTTGGGAATTAATATATTTATTCAAGTATTTGAACACAGATACCTTTAGGGGCTTTTATACATAGGAGGTTACAACTAGCTACATATGCACTTTTGGTGCTTAATTTAAGTAGTCTGCCTATATATTACTATACAGATTCTATATGAAGTGCCATATCTGCAAGCCAACTATAGATCTTGCTTATTTAAACTTTCTATATATGTAGTCTGATTTGTAATTACAGAAACATTTTTTGGATTACACTTATATAAAGTACCTAATGCTTTTGAAACTCTTAAACTAATTTATTCTTAACAAAAACTTACTAGAAATTTCTGTCTTATATACAGCTAATCTAGTTTTATGCAACATGCTATAGTTATCTAATATTTGCAGTCACAGAGATTACCTATTTAACTACTATATTATACTATTTTTACTCTTGTAAAGTTCACTAAAATTTCAGTACTATCATCACAATGTTTTTATTATTATCTTTTACTAACTACTACTCAGAACTAATAGGATTTCTCTAACTTCCAATTTAGATAGCCCACTATAATATATATATATGTATTCTTTTTTTCTAGTGATTCTGGTGCCTGGTTGGTTATATGCTTCTCTATACATTTTGTTATTTAGTTTATTTAACTATCTTTTTAGAGTATTTCATGAACTTTCATCAGTTTGACCATATTATTGAAAGTTTATACTATTTCTTTACTTAGAAATTTCTAAGTAGGTTTCTGATTCTTTAGTTTCTTAGTTTACTGTGCTCAGTAGTCTTATTATAGATTTGCACTAAAGTCCTATGTAATACCAGTTATTAATATTCCTTTATATATATATAATATTACACTTAATATAGATGCTTCAAACTCTTATTTGAGATGGTACAATTTAAAGTTACAGATACATCAATCTAACCAATCATCAAGAGATAGTTTGCTGTAATACAGTTTAATTTCTAAATTTTGTTATAGGTGGGATTTGAACCTTAGACCTGCCATTTGGAGAATAACAATCTAATCATTACACTAGGATCCTTATTCTTTAAAAATCTAATATTTAAATTTTAAGTTTCTATTTTTATTTAATGATTTGGTAAAATAATTAAGTAACTATTATATTTTATATAATTTATTATATGTTTTTTATCATTTAGATTATAGATAAACTAATTTAAATACTTATTTTTTTAGTTTATCATATATAATCTTAATTTATTTTAATATTTTTATACTAAAATATATCTTTTAGATTGTAGATTAATGCAAACAAATTTGTTTGTATTTTTGTATTTTTTTAGCTCTAATTTACTTTTTTAAAATATTAAAATATATAAATAAAATTTGATATAATAATATTTGAAAATAAGAATTATTTTTTTGCAGTATTTATTTTTAAATTATAAAGAAAAAAAATTAGACAAAAATATATAATTTTAAAAAAAATTTTCAATAAAAAAATTTTTTAGTTTATCTATAATAAACTTTTTATATTTTAATTTTAAACCTATAGTTTTAATACAATTTTTTAGTTTATATTAAAGATTACAATTATAATTATTACAAGTTTAGTAATTTATATATAAAATTAATACTTGTCTTAAGAGCAAAAATTTTTGTTAGTTTCTAAAACATATAAAATTTTAGAAAATCTGAAAAATATTTTAATACTAAACCCTAATGTTATACAACCTTTAAACTTTAATTAATTAAAAATTTTTTAATCAAGTTAAAAAAGTTTCTTAACAAAATTTAGAAAATAGGTTTTTAAAAATATTTTTTGTTTAGAAAATATATTGCTAAAATTAATTATTAAAATTTTATTATAAAAATTAATTTTAAAAAAATTAATACAGACAAATTTAACTGTATTACAATTTAAAGTATAATGTTAGAAGGGTTTTGGGTTTATAATATATAGGATCAAAAAAAAAATAATGAATTATCATTTGAAAATACCAAACATTATAAAATATTATATTACAGAAAAATAAAATAATTTGACAAGACTAAAACATAAGTATAAGATCTTAGTTTATTACTATTATGGTTTTTATCATTATTACTATAACTATTACTAATATTCATTATTCTTTTCTCTAACTAATTCTTCTTTATTAATTCAAAAAAAAAAATGCATTTATATACAAAATAATACTCACAAAAAAAGATAATATAAAAACTAATGATCAAATATTTTTCTACTGAACTCAAT